AAAAGAGCAGGGAATAGTGGCACGCGCCTGTAATCCCAGCTACTTGGGAGGCTGAGGCAGGAGAATCACTTGAACCCAGGAGGCAGAGTTTGCAGTGAGCCAAGATCGTGCCACTGCACTCCCACTCGGGCAACTGCTCAGTGTTCATTGTTAGAAGTCACCAAATTATCCTTTATTCCTCACACCATCTGAATCTTCATTTCTTTAGTCAGGCAGCTAGCTAGTTAGTTCAATAAACTAAATTTATTGAGTGCTTAGTTTGTGCTGGACACTGGGCCAGGATGAATGAGAGACAGTATCTGCCTTCAGCTTACTCAGCCTATCAGGGCAGCTGACTAGGTACAGAGATGGACACTGAGAAAACACAGTCAACTGACAAAGAGAGAATAGACAAAGCTTTGAAGAGGGAAGGGAGTCAAAAAAGACTTTTAAAGGATAAATGAAAATTCACCACATAAGTAAAAGATACTCAAAGAACACCAATTTAATTTGATCACTAAAGGCTGTAAACAATTAAGCTATGTTAAAGATGCCAAGATTGCCAGAGAAATGAAAACGTTTGCTTTTGTATGTGATCAGCTTCATGAAGGTCAAATGGATAGTTATATTCTGACATTTGCACATGAATTTTTTTAAAGATGCCTAAGTTGCCACATAAGATTAGGGATTCTCAATGAACTAAAAGTAGTCATCTAACCTCTATGTCAGTTTTCTCACTTTCAAAAATGTGAAAAACTGAATGACCACATAGCATATTGTGAAATACTGGCTACGAAGCTATTAGGAAATGTAAAGTACCATATTTATAGTCAATAAAGCTAGGCTTCCCAAAGCTTTTGTGAAAGAATTTTTTTAAAAGTTGCCCAATTACTAAATGGTGGAAAGATATGAGTAAAACTACAATTAACCCAGCAATGCCGCTCTCCCGCTCACTGGCTCTTCTGAGAATGGGAGGGGTTTTTGTATAGTGCTTCAATTGGTGAATCATCAATACACCTTTTTTTAGCCACATAAAATGTATTATTTAACTTCAGCTTGTTTTTTTTTAATTATATTTATGTGGGGCATTAATATTTAACTGTCAGACATTTGTCACCAGGCAACATTGATTGCAAGTAGAGGAGCCATTTCAAACAAGAATGCTTAAAAGTTAGCTTATGCCTTTATAAAATAGATTTGTTATCAATAGATTGCATTCCCATGACATGATAAGACCAGATCAAGGACAGGCCTTACAGAATTGCAAACACATTTGGGCAAGCTTTATATATATATATATATATATATATATATATATATATACACACACACACACACACACATATATAAGGCAGGGACTTGCGTATTGTTTTACCAAAAAGTTAGTGGTAACCAAGGCTATGAAAATATGCAGAAAGGGAACTTTGAACCAAGTCACAATATTAAAACAGGTTTGACTTGAGATTCTTTAAACCAAGAACAACAATAAAACATAGAAGTCTCATGGTGTTGAAACCTAGACTGGAAGTACCGTCCATTAGGAATCAGTGAATTAGTTTGATTCCATACACAGTCAGATAGAGATAGCTGCTATTAGTTAAACACAGGTTATTGGTCATAAATGGATCATAAACCAAAGAAACGTGACTGGAGCAACCATATCCCTTATTTTTGCTGGGATGCAAACCAAACAAATGCCCAACTAATGGAAATGCAAGAGTAGCAATCTCATTTCTTGAAGACATTTTTCATACAGCAAATTGCTATGATTGCAATCTGCATGACACTACAATTAATAAAATACTAAATAAAAGTCTCTGTCCTATGGCCTTTTATACAATGGAGGAATATATATTCTTAGCAATTATAAAATTAACTTAAGAAGTGTTTGGCCACATTGAGCCTCAACCAAATTTTGGATCAATGAGAACTGCCTGGAGTTTCAGAAGTTAAACTAGTTTCAGAAGTTAAACTATGATGTTGAGAACCCAACTTAAGTTTGATCAGAGGATCAAACTTAATCGAACTTATCAGAGGATCAAATGAGGGAACACAAGTTAACGAAAACAAAATCCAAGTGAGTTAACCACATCCTATAAACTGAACTCCTCGAATGAGGGTAACTGCTTTGCTGAACAAGAAGGTTTGCTTTTGACATGTGCTTAATTCCCTTTTAGAACTCAGAGATCTAAGGAGTCATAGAGATAGAAAATGTATTGGTCTAAGGAAGAATAGAAAGTACATTGTATTCAGGCTGGGAGCAGTGGCTTTCCCCTGTAATCCCAGCACTTTGAGGGGCCAAGGTGAGCAGATCACTTGAGGTCAGAGTTTGAGACCAGCTTCACCAACATGGTGAAACTTCATCTCTACTAAAAATACGAAAATTAGCCAGGCATAGTGGCAAATGCCTGTAATCCCAGCTACTCAGGGAGGCTGAGGTAGGAGACTCACTTGAGCCTGGGAGGCAGAGGTTGCAGTGAGCCAAGATCACATCACTGCACTCTAGCCTGGGCAACAAACAGAGTGAGACCCTGTCTCAAAAAAAAAA